TAAATAGGAATTTAGTACATAGTTTGCGATTGATTTGACCAAACTTTGTTGCTTAAATAACTTGTAACGCTTTATTACATAAATTAACCATGGTATATTCCACACCAGAAAGAGTTGAAATTATCGAAATATTTTTCGGAAATAATCAGTGCGCTAATAGAACGGCAGAAATATTTAATGAGCGACATGAGAACAGTAACGTGCATCGAAAATATGTTCTAGAACTTGTAGCTAAATTTCGGGTAACTGGGTCAGTTGCCATTAAAAAACGCAACATTGAAAATCCCATAAGGAACGAAGCAATAGAAGTGGGGGTTTTAGGGCAAGTTCATGTAGATCCTACGTTAAGTATCCGCAAATTGGAGACTGTGTGTGGTGTTAGTCGACGTACTGTCCAACGGATTCTAAAAGCCCATAGTTTTCATCCATTAAAATTCACCTGATACAAGAACTTAATAAAGACGATTTTGATCGGCGATTAAAATTTTGTGAAGATATGAGTGAAAGAATTATAAACGATCAACATTTTCTATTCAACACTTGCTTTTCCGACGAATGTTCCTTATTCTTAAATGGCGTAGTAAATCGTCATAACTGCCGACATTGGTCCGATTCTAATCCCAGAATTTATCATGAGGTTCATACACAGCAGCCACAAAAATTAAATGTTTGGGCTGGTATTTTTGGCGATGATTTAGTTGGTCCTTTTTTCTTACATGGAAATTAAACCCGTGAAATGTATTTAGAATTACTGGAAGACGCCATAGATCCTGCATTAACAGCCATAATTTAAAGTCAGAATGATCGGCGGTACATTGCGAATAGATTGATGTTCCAGCATGATGGTGCCTCATCACATTACGCATTACGTGTTCGACAATATTTAGATCAGACGTTTCCAGATCGATGGATTGGTAGAAGAGGTGCCATTGAATGGCCCCCAAGGTCGCCAGATTTATCACCTTTGGATTTCTTTATGTGGGGTCATTTAAAAAGCAAAATCTGCGGCAACGTTTTGAGCAAAATCTTTATTATTGCATGGAGAGTCATGGTAGCCATTTTCAACATTTACTTGCCTAACGGTTCAGTTGATTCTTCATTTTTAAATTTCTTTGCTGCCAAATGTATTGATCTCCACTAATGATGATTTATTAGTTTTATTTAAGCTTTAAATCAATAATTCTTCAAAACTACTGAACTGAAGTTCATTAATTTTATATCATTATAAAGGGAATTGAAGAACCTTTAAAATAAAGTATCACTCGACCTCCCTTTCCGCTTAAGATTTTGGGGGTGGTGTCACCCCCGCTTAGGGGGCTGCACGTGCTAACGTGATTTTTTGCCAAGCTTGTGTCCCCCTCGAAAACAAAATCGACGCGTCTGAGCGTTTTTCAAAAAAAAAAAAATGAGCTGCCAGTAAATACGTCTGTTTCGTTTTCGATGCGGCACCCTGTATAATGTTCACGTCATAAACGTTCGAACGGAAACTAGAATCCCTAGGGGAATGATATAAGGTATTTGCTCACATTTTTAGCGTACAAGTCTTAACAAAGTTTTTTCGGAAATATTTCTTCCTTCATACACTATTTTCATTATCAGTATCTCGTGAATATCGAGTAGTATGCTACCTTTTTGTGAGGACTTTTATCTCGTCGGTCCTTACATTAGGTTGACAAGAGGTTTCATGGATTGATTTGGATAATAATTGTTGGATAAAGCAAAAAGCAAAGGGTATTGAAATGCAGCCGACTCATTTAACATTAGTAATGTAATGGAATGGAATTTGTATGCAAACGTCCAAATACAGCATATGATTAAGCATCTTCTTGCGATTCTTACTGCATTTGTTTCCAAATGAGAATATTTATCGATATATATTCAATTCGTTGAAAGCAACATTTGTATCATAACATCTCCGTACGAATCGTGAAATTTAGCTTGAACCAGGAAAGTAAATTGCTCCAGAGATGCATAAATTCTCCCAGATATTTTCCAACAGTCACGGAAAAAGTACAGTATACGAACACATGTTAAATTGGCAGCTTCAATAATGTCAGATAACGATTTCGCCTCCATTTTGTATTCACGGCATTCCAACATAGTATTATGTTGTACGGGGATTGTTCAACAGTGCATGGAGTAGGCTTGTCTATTTTTAAGAGATGTTTTTAAAAATACAATGAGAGAACCTGTTGATACTACAAGCAAAACAATTAGACGAATTCTGCAGAGAGGTATTGAAGATTTTGTGAAAACATTATGTAAATTAGACTTGAGCGACTAGCAGCTTGATCTGAATCACTGGGCGTTCCAAACTGACTCCCACCACCTTCGCTAAAAACTGTGAAATATACTATTTCAATTAAAATTAACTGCCAAACGCTCTTTATTTAAGGTCAAAAAAAGACTGTATATGTTTCAAGTATATATACAATGAATCATGGGCAATGAGTGGACCAAAAAAAAGGACAAGTTGCCAGCCAATGTTATAATTTTTTATCAAAATATGCGATATATTGCAAAGGACCCCTCACAAAACATTATGAAGGGTGGGTCTCAGTAGATTTGTCTTTAAATTCAGTAAGATATATTCCATGCCTCCCCGAATAAATGTGCCCATGGGACCAAAGCTGTCTCTAGGAAATAGGCGGTTAGTTTGCTTCATTTGTAAAAAATGGTGAATGTACCGATTGTAGTTCTTAGGCCAGGACTCAGAATCAGAATACTAAAAGCAATATTTCGTTAAGACAAGACGTAGGTGGATGTTGGAAGATGTCATGTTCATCCTGGCCATGATTCTTACAATGTCAGTTTCAGGCCAACTTGATTTTTATGTTTATGCTGGAATTATTCGATAGTTCAGAAAACTGAATGGGGCAGTCGTGGTTGTTTCATTGACTTTGATTATGATCTTTATAAGGTCAAATCAAGTTCCTCTTTATTTTGAAAGTTAAATCAAAAGAAAAAGTGCGCTAATGTTGATATGGCTTCAGGTTGTACTTTATTGACTATTTATCTGAGTTTCCTTGTTTTAGTCAGCTTCTGACATCTCGAATGCTTTGGAACAATTTTCTCGAAGGATAAAAAACGCCGGTATCATGGACAACAACAGCTGACGCGCTAATGTACCCCCGAAGATAATGAGGACGGCATCTATCAATAAGAAGATGAGCTACTTTATAAAGGCCCATTTGACATGGTGTATTTGAATAAATCTCTAAAAACTTAACAGTTGATTCTATGTGACCATTTCTTGCTTCAACTACCCATCTCATCTTGGTAACTAAACGAGGTTCATTGGCTATTCTGTCGATAGTTGTCTCCGAGAGGTGAATGCATTTTCCATGTTATACCCAACTGATCTAACAATGCACTGACACCAAGATATATTCTATTTAATACAAGTACGTTTCCAACTTGAGAAATCTAGAATCGATAATGTTTGTACATTTCCAAATGCATTACAAATGAGACAAATACCACTTCTGTGTTGCTCATCATGCTTGGCGATGTCAAAAACAGACATTTTTTCAGTAACTTTAAAAAAATAACATCGTTAAGCCATCAGTTTTAGATATATTGTATGTACAGAGAGTCATATTTGAGGAGCGAATGGTTCCATACAAATATTTCTTTCTCTTTTTTTTATAATTTACTACAAAAGAATAGACACCTAAGCTATAAGCTCGTGTGTGTCACACAATATACAAATTCAATGCATGGCTAATGGTGATAAAGTATATTATGAGCAAATGTATATAAAAAGAAAGAAATAAAAAAACATTAGATAGAAACGAAATGACTGAGTTGAGTCAAGCTACAGTCGATGCAAGCATGTCAAAGTTATTTAAAATTAACTTCTTAATTCTTTTTTTGAAACTATACTTCTAGAGGATTTCATATTCTAGGGGTAATTTATTGAACAACCTAATACCATCAAACTTTATGCATTTTTTCCAAACAAATTTATTCACTCTGGTATAAGTGTAACTTATATTTATTTTAGTTCTTGTTTCATAAGCGTGGCTGGTTGGAACATTGTTTCTGGAGTGAACAAATTTCAGAGCAACAAAAATATATAAACTTCTAACATTCAAAAGATCATTTTCAATGTAAATAAATCTGCAAATTGACCTACATGGGATACGAAAAATAGTCCTGACAATATAATTTTGCGTGGTTTGTAGTATTTTTAAAGTACTAGTGTTTGCGGCTCCCCATACACTTATCCCGTAAGTTAGTAGAGACCCCACAAATGAGTTATATATTGAGAGAAGACTCCTGCTTAAAATATTCCTAAGAATGAAAAACTTATGAATAATTCTCCTTAATTTCGATGCCAAAAGCTCGGCATGACTCTGCCATTTTAAATTACTGTCAACAGTGATTCCTAAGTATCTAATAACTTAATGTTCGGTGGTGTAATGGCATGCCTGCTTTGGTTGGAAAAAACGTTACATACTTAGTTTTAGAGATAATAAGCTTAAGTAAATTGTTATCCAACCAGCATTTGACTTTATTTAATGACAACTCGGCATTCCGTATTGCGTCATCCCATGAATGACCAGTGCAAACTAAAACAGTATCGTCTGCATATGATATCATTTTACAGTTGAAGTTGCATCCAAGTAGTTTATTTATGTATATGAGAAACGGTGTTGCTCCCAAAACCGTCCCCTGAGGCACACCTATTTTGATCTTTTGAATGCTGCTTAAATCTGACCCTACCTTAACTTGTTGTAATCGATCAGCCAAATAGTTCTCAAAGAAGTTCAGAACTCCACTACGCACTCCAACACTTTCTAGTTTCTTTAATAAAATTGTATGAGATACTGAATCGAAAGCCTTTTGAAGATCTAGGAAAACTGCAACAGTCTTATTTCCATCTTGAAAATTTTCAAGCACTTGTCCTGCAAGTTCTTGTAGAGATTGCTCTGTATTGCAATTTTTGCGGAACTCAAATTGACAGTTCGATATTATGTCATATTTCTCAAGAAACGAACAAAGTCTGTTATTCAGACACTTCTCAAAAATCTTCCCAAATACATTGATAACTGAAATAGGTCTATAATTGAACATATTGTCTTTACTTCCAGATTTAAATATTGGTGTCACTATGTTTTCTTTAAATTGGCGAGGAATTACTGAGGTTTTGAAATACAGGTTGATAATGTGAGTTATAGGGTGACTGATATACTTCATGAGCATCTGATAGTTTTAGTGTCTAACCAATCTTTTCCGAGTGCGCTATTATTTTTCAGATTGCAAACTATTTGCTGTAACTCTATGTTATCCACTGGAGTTAGAAACATAGAGTGTGCAATGTTGACGACATGAAGATCTGATGTATCAACAATTGAGTTTTGATCAATCTGACTTTTTATTTGCTCACCTATATCGACAAAATATTTATTCAAAACACAGGCTATATCAGTGGGAGCATCCAGCTGCTGATTATTGTGATTTTTTAATTTTGTCATCATTGGTTACCTCATTAATAACATCCCAGCTTTTCCTATAGTTATTACCAGCTAAAATGAGTTTTTGTGTATAATATTGATTTTTAGAGATCTTAATAGGATTAGTTACTCTGTTTCTGTAGGAGATATAGGACTGTCTCAATATCAAATTATCATTATTTTTCGTCAAACTCTGTTTCAACTCATGCCTCTTCTTGATAGAAGTAAGAATACCGTCAGTCATCCACGGCATGCGTTTTCTAGTCTTGATTTCCATGTTTGTAATCAACAATATTTTTTTGGGCATTTATGTTACCCCATTGTCTCGAGGCAGATGTTAACACAGATATTCACTTGTTTCGATCTTCAAGAATCTAAACGAATATATTATAAAGAGAACGCACCTTACAGACGACGTCAAAGAACCTTGTTGATTTTTCTAGTAATGAAACGTACGATTCAGTTGAAGTTCTTGAAAAACTTGCTTTTGTACCTACAAAATGCGGAATCTCTACATCTGCTGAGCAACAACAACGTTGTAATGAAAATTATATATGCCTTGATGATAAGTGGTAATTTATAAGAATAAAAAAATTATCGGTTGACCAAATTAAAGCTGAATAGGTTCGACACCCATTAAATATTTGAAGTATATAGTAATTTGAGCTACTATCAACTGCTCCAAGTGCGCTATAAAACAAGTTGCACTTTCCTTAATCCACGACATGATGCAACTGTGACTTAGTTACGCTTAGACATATTTAACTTTGACCTAAGCTTGAACGTACTATTTTTTGGCAGCACAGATAATATATCTCTAGTATATACCTAAACGTAGCCATTTATATCATTTTAATGGCCCACTTTGAAAATTAAGAGTCGACCAGCCCGCATTTTGTACACATTTTTGCCTCGCTTATTTGCTTCTCTTTCTGCGGCACTAAGGCCTCAGAAAAATTGCTGGAATCATGAGCGCCGGGGTAATACGTTGTGATTTTTAAAGCATTTCTGTTTTATTTGCATGTCTTCACAGGTCCGCTTTTACTATTCATATGTTAAAATTTGTTCAATTCTAACCAGGAGGCGTTTGCGATGTGATTTATCTATTGTCGATTTATTTTAAAATACCTCTCACATTATACGATTTGTATAAGTGAGGCGTCTAATCCCCTGAGAAATTCTTGGTTCAGCTACAAAAACATATTTTTCCATTTGTTCTTAGATGAAAAATTTGCTACTCGGCATTAATCAAAAAGAAGGCTTTAATCAGGGCTCGACTGTGGATTAAATATCATACAGCATCTAGAATGGTATGCAAGAGAGATAGGTTTGTAAAACAAGATATATTTTTAAGAAATCCATTGTATTGTTTCCCAATATTCTTGTTTATATGAACCACTGCCTCTCGGCTCGTTTGGCCAGCACAATAAATGGGGCGATCGTATCTGGGCGATATTTATGCAGAAATAAATATTTGCAACTATCGTATTCGACTTACGCCATGTGCATGTAACATATCGGTCTCCGCACGTATACGAGCCCCTTCCCACTTCAGTTGGCCCAACTATTGAAATCTTAGTTTTTTCTTATTAAACACAAATAATAAAAATGTAGCAGGGTATTATAGGTTTAAAATATTAACAATGTATATTTTGATAATATATAGTAGAAAACACCAACTTTATCACTCCCTCATCAAATTTGCAGGACAAAAAAGAACACATGTTGCAATTACAGCATATCAACCTATTTTCATTTCAATGCAAAATAAGTCTATAACGCATAGGTGGATGTGAAAAATAATAGCCATGACAATTATTTTTATTAATCACAGCTGTCAGAATACGTTTAAAATAGTTTTGGATAGTTAAGGTTTTCAAAATGGGTAGAGAAAAGGTTATTAGTGAGAAAATTCGGTTACTGATAATTAAATTTTTTAATTCTGGGAAATCAAACTCAGAAATTTCAACTTTGTTAGACTTATCGCGGTACAGTGTGAGAAATATTGTTAGAATATATAACGTAACTGGTTCAGTTAATATTAAGCCACGATATGTGAAAAAAGTAATATCACAAATGCCGACCGAAGAGCATTAAGAAGAATAATCGTGAAAAACAGGCGTGCCAATTATTTACAATCAAGTGCTCTGTGGAGTGACGCTGTTGGAAGGATAATTTCGAGGTCCACAACTCATAGAGAGGCTCACAAACTGGGACTTAGCACTTGCAAGGTAAGTTTTCTTATATAAAAAAGTGAAGTGAAAACCCTAAAGTTGCACAACTTGTTTATAGGCCAAAGAAAAGCCACTATTAACTACACTGCAAACAAAAAATCGGCTTAGATGGGCTAAAGAACATAGACAATGGCCACCTCAACAATGGTGTGCAATACAATGGAGTGAGGAGGCCCGTTTCGAAGTTTGTGTTGGGACAGTCACAGTGGAGTTATTCGCAAAAAAATGAAGCATTCCATGTTGACTGTCTGAAGAGAAAAGTGAAATTTCCAGCATCCATTATGTTCTGGGGCAGTATGTCATCAAACGGAGCAGAAAAACTATATTTTATTGATGGAAATGAGGATACAAACAAATATTTGGCAATTTTAGAAGAATTGCTTTTACCAGTAATGGAAGAATGTTTGACATCCGGCCAAGATTTTGTGTTTCAGCAAGATGATGCAGCGTGCCATACCTCAAAAAAGGGCTATAAAATGGATGGAAGTAAATAATGTACCACTTTCGAAATGGGTTTCTAGCAGTCCAGATCTGTCGCCTATTGAAACTTTGTAGCATGAGATGAAAAAGGTTCTACGACAACATCCTGCTCGTACAATCACCGAATTGAGACAAAAGCTTCAAGAAATATGGTATTGTTTTACACCAAATTTTTGCCAAAACTTGGTTAACACTATGGCCCAAAGAATTTCAGCCGTAATAAAAAATAAAGGTGATGTTACCCAATGGTAATCTTTCAATTGTTGCTTTGTTAACTTCGCGCATTTATTCGCACATTGTTTTTTTTGTTCATTTGTTCAGATGTTCTATTAGTTATAGGTCTAAGTGATTTCAAATATGTATTTTTTACGACTAGAGTGTATCTATAATGTTTTTGAGAAAATAAATTGTTTTAGAAGTAAATAGTTTCCTCATGTTTAGTTTATAAAGGCATATTTTGGTACAAATCTTGAACTGGGCCAACTGAAGTGGGAAAGTGCTCGTAAGCGTAAATAACAAATAATCTAAAATCTAGTTACGCCGTAATTTCACAGATTTTTTTGTAGTCTCTTACTTCACAAAGAGACGTCGTTAGCAGTTCGCTGCTGAGAATTAAAATTTTCAGAAAATTGCGTAAGTTATAAAATTCCGAAAACAATTTTCACGTACCGGCTTAAATAGATTTACGCCTCTACGTTAAAACTGGTTCTACATCACTTTAGTCTAACAAAAAGAAACAGCAATGTTCAGACTGACAAATCAGTATGTCACTTTCAATCTCATTTTTTGCTGATTTTCGTTTTCTAGCTCTCCTGTAAAATTTGTAAAATGTTAGTTACGCCGGTACGTGCGGAGACCGACGATATGTATGTTTCCTTGGGGCAAACGCACATTCAAAAAAGTCTTTATTATACGTGACAGGGACAGATTCAGCCTGTTAGTCAAGGGGGGGCACTTAGTCATACCCAACTAACAATTATCACTGCTTTTAGAGTTGCAAGAATGATTATACAGTATCCCTTACACAGCATTGTATACTGTAAGAACATTGGCAAAACCCTCTTAGAACAGATATACAAGCGTAATAGGACACTTCAGTCATTTAAGAGGTTGTATAAGGGCTGCAGGTAACAGTTATTCAACAAAAGTGTAAGCCTCTTGCAGCCGCTATAGGACATTTGCGTCAGTGCAAGATTCAGTTTTTGTCAACTATACAACTATTCTGTTACGTGATTCTACTTTATTGCAACCAAACTATTTCTTATGTATTGTATAGACGAAGTGAAGAATATATATATATATAACTAACACAATACAGTCATCTTGTTTACTTACATATCGGCCATTGTGATTTTCATACACAGGGATATGATAAACTTCTACACTGTGATATAGGGCTATAGAATTACTTGCGCAGCAAATTTTATTGTGATTATCGTGCAAGGTAGTTACGCAATTTCTACGGGCTTCGTATTTGATTCATATTTTGATAATGATCAAAAGTATGTCTAGATTTTTAAGATGGAAAACTGAAGTTATCTGCGTTAAATCTTCCACAAATCCTATATTTAGACACAATTACACTAATGTTTATGACTTTATATCTGTAATTTCGAACTGAAGCATAATTATTTAATGCCTGCAGGTGTTATACAACAATTTGACAAATGTCAGAAATGAAATACCGACAGAGTTGAATGATTTACCTAGAATTTGTACCAGATCTATATCTTCTGTTTGAACAGTTGATAAAATCTGTTCAACCAATATGCATGCGTTGTTTGTCTTAAAACACTGGTTATGGCATTTTAACAAAAATATGACAGCAGAAAGTTAGGTTATGGTGAAGTTGTATACCAACATATTTAGCATATGTACAGCCTTTAACAGTTACAAAACAACAGTTGTATAAGTGCTTCCGTTGGGAGCAATTTGTTGGCTAAAGTAGTAAATTTCCACAGCAAAACAACAAGGCTCGGGTTTGTTTTATAAACGTTACCATGGATGCCACAACACAACCATTTTGACTAACCTGCAAATCTGCCGTATAAAATAGTTGTATACACGTTTATGCAACAGTTGAAAATTTGTCCTATAAGGTGTTGTGTAACTATAAGAATATTTTAAATACCTCATTTTAGAGCAAATATGTTGCAGAAAGCAGATTTGCATTCCACACAAGATTAAGCCAGCATTTTGGTGTTCAGGCAACAACAATAGAGAACTTTTATGGCTGAACGGTTCTTTTACCAAAAGCTTATAGCACTACTTTGCTAGTTGGGTAGTGGTGGATCTTGGAAGTAGCGCACTGGACATTACAGAATTCGTGTTGGCGAAGGTTTTCGTTTCCTGGGGAGGTGTTGTGTGATTGAAAATTACCCGATACCGTCAGTACTTTTGAGGT